CACACACACACACACACACACACACACACACACACACACACACACACACACACACACACACACACACACACCAGAAAACAAAACTATCGTATTGTATACCATAACAATGTAAAGGTTTCATTCCTCAATTATACCTTTTTTTTTTAAGTACAAGGGCCTGGGTTTCAGTGCCCAACATTAAAAATATAATAATATAGTCTTTCAAGCTGGTTCCAGGGTGGCTGCTGTCTAAAAGTCTGTAACAAGTTGCAAGTCTGTTGACATATCCCTGGGAAGTTCTCAGATACGCTACAATAATCATTTTTGTGGTGGAAAACAGACATATTTCAAGGAAGGGAAAAGACCTAACAAAAGATTTCCTGCCTATGTTGAACAATCTTGTGAAGTTAATGAGATTAGAATGATTATACAAGCTAATGAAGCCCTCAAGTTGCTTCTAGCAGATGCTGAAGATGGTAAAACTTAATGAAAGAGCCAGATGTGGTCATTCAGGCCTGTAATCCCAGCACTGGAGAGACTAAAACAGGAAAACTGTAAGTTCAAGGCCAGTCTGGGCTACACAGTGAGAACTTGTTTCAAAAAAATAAAACAACTTGCCAGGCACCTATGGCTCATGCCTATAATCCAAGTTAATCAGGAAGCTGAGAAATGAGGATCTTGGTTCAAAGCCAGCCCAGGCAGGCAAGTCCATGAACTCTTATCTAGCTAATCACAGAAAAAGCCGGAAGTGGCACTGTGGCTCAAGTAGTAGAGCACTAGCCTTGAGCAAAAAGGAGCTTAGGGACAGCAGTCAAGCCCAGAGTTGAAGTCCCAAGACTATTAAAAACTAAACGATAATAATAATACTAAGCCGGGAGCTCTGGCTCACGCCTAGAATCCTAGCTACTCAGGAGGCTGAGATCTGAGGATGGAGGTTCAAAGCCAGCCCGGGCAGGAAAGACTGTGAGACTCCGATCTCCAATAAACCACCAGAAAACCAGAAGTGGCGCTGTAGCTCAAGTGGTAGAGCGCTTGCCTTGAGCTGAAGAGCTGAGGGACAGCGTCAGGCCCAGAGTTCAAGCCCCACGACCAACAAAAAAAATAAAAATAAAATAATAATAATAATAAATAAAACAAGAGCTTGAAAATGTGGCTTAATGGTAGAGTGCTTGTCTAACATGCATGAAGCCCTGAGTTCAATTCTTCAATCCCACATAAACAGAAACAGCTGTAAGTGACACTGTGGCTCAAATGATAGAGTGCTAGCCTTGAGCACAGAGAGGCTCGAGAACAGAGCCCAGGCCCTGAGTTCAAGCTCCAGGACTGGCAAAATAAATAAATACATTGATTCAAAAAATGTGAACAGTTCTAACTCTTCACTTGAATACATAGGAGTCTTTCCCAATAAAGAATAGAGAGACCCTAAGCATTCATTTTTACGGAGTGAAATGATGTTAGGTCCCCTTCAAGGAGATATGTCACTCAAAGATACAGCATCAAATGCCCTTCATTCCCTTGTAGCTGGTACCCAGACCACTCTAAAAGCATCTCAGGCAAATGGAGAATATTTTCTGAGAGGAACAATGGGGACCATGGTTGTAATACTTACCTTCAGTAGAGACTAGAACTGTGATCCCTAGAGAACGCCAGCATGGATGCAAAGGAACAGGAACTGAGAACAATGCTGGAAAACTTGAACAAATGAGTGAATGCAGTTGTCAATGAAAAGGAGAGAAAGCCAAGTGTATCACTGAAATTGTGCTGGAGATGCTAAATTTGCCTATTTACTTTTAGGGTTAATTAGATGGATAATGGCAACTCAGAATAAGAAAAATGGAAACGACCTCAACTATCAGCAGAAATCAACCTGAAGATATTCATTGATGCTATTAGCTTTTTCTTGAACTTAAATACTCTCTGGAAAAAGCTTTCTAGAACATCTACACTTTCTGATTACCAAGGTCTATCCAAGATATCCTTACAGAGGCCATCCCGTCTGTTGATAAAGCATCCTTTTGTAGAAAGCTTGTCCCAGCTACATTCCCTAGGAAGACTTTTCTCCTTCCTACTCTGACTCTCCCAGTACTTTGCAGCCCCTTTCCTTGGCATTTACTTATTCATGGTTGTCCTGTTGTTGGGCTTTCCTTTCACTTTATTTCCTGTCAGCTCTTTTTGGTAACAGTAACAAAACTGCCTAGTTTACCTTTTTAAAACCCAGTAGGAGTGTTTTTTCTTATGTGAACTACATTTGACATGACCTAGAAAATCACATCAAGTTAAACATTCTACAAAGAAAGTCAGAGGCAGGGATATCCATAATGTTCCTTGTCTCCTGGTTAGCCCAGGATATTTTGGCTATTCCCAATTTCCTCTACACAAAGACCCTGCTTCAAGCATTAATGAATAAGCTAGAAGAGTGGTGGCTGAGATGTGGCTCCTCTACAGGGAAGTGGAGGGTGGAAGGAAGAACAAAAAATAGCTGCTTTCATTGGGGGCAGGAAGGAGATTATTTCATCAGGAGCCAAACAGTGAGACTATCTAATACAAACAATTGTTTGGCTTGAAGATCTCCATGTGGGTAGTTAGTCCAGCAAAGGCCCAGGTGGAATGGAATGCTGACCTGCCAGGAGCTGAGGACAGGAGTTGACACATGCTTAAGTGTCAGAATCATGGTACTGGTATCTCTGGGCTTCCAGAGAGGTTGTCCATAATCTGCCCCACCGGTCACCATTCTGTGCCTGACCCAGCAAAGACTGTGGACTTAAAGAATTGAAGAAAACTGGGTCAGTGATGACAAATTCAAAGTTATTCAACCCAAACTCATATTTTAGGAGAACAAACACAAAAGGTGGCTCTCCTGAGAAATCTACTGTATTTTAATCACTACTTCAGTGACTAGTGGCAAGCTGGAGAAAATGGGTTTGCGCATAGGGTTTGTTGAGCTAACAGCTAGGTGAGCAAGGCAAAGTTGGCCTGATATTTCAAAACTTGACATTATAATTATACTAATTTCCTAGCACCCATGGCCTCACTGCAAGTAACAGATGCTAATCTGGTTTTCCAGCAGTCACTGTCTTCACCTTCTGAGGATACTTTGCTTACCATAGGTTTTAGGTCACTTAAGGTTAGAGATTTAACTTCCTTTTTGCAACAAACAGGGTCTACAAACTACTGAATATGGAAAGTGCCAGGGGACACAGATCTTTAGAAGAGAGCATGGAAGAAGGGTAATATGCCAAGTCTCCAGTACCCTACAACAGCCCATACTTCTGTAGGAATCTGTGACATTACAGTTGAACTTGATGCTTTTTTGACACTTCTGATGCTTTGGGGCCATAAACTACTAATTAATAAATTTTTATCTTAAAAAAAAAAAAAGAGGGCTGGGAAGGTGGCTCAGTGGTAGAGCGCTTGCCTTGCATGCCTGAGGCCCTGGGTTCGATTCCTCAGCACCACATAAGCAAAAAGAAAAAAGCCAGAAGTGGCGCTGTGGCTCAAAGTGGTAGAGCGCTAGCCTTGAGCTGAAGAGCTGAGGGACAGCGCCCAGGCCCAGAGTTCAGGCCCCAGGACCGGACTCAAAAAAAAAAAAAAAAAAAAAGATGGGTGATATGTAACCGGCCCATGAGACTGACCTTCATCTTTCATACCTAGAACAAATTCTTGACCCTGGGACTGGGAATGTGGCCTAGTGGTAGAGAGTTTACCTAGCATGCATGAAGCTCTGGGTTTGATTTCTCAGTACCACATAAACAGAAAAAGCCGAAGTGGTGCTGTGGCTCAAGTGGTAGGGTACTAGTCTTGAGTAAAAGCAGCTCAGGGATAGTCAGTGCCCAAGCCCTGAGTTCAAGCCCCAGGACTGGCAAAAAAAAAAAAAACTTAAAAAAATTCTTGACTCAGCCGGGCGCTGGTGGCTCACGCCTGTAATCCTAGATACTCAGGAGGCTGAGATCTGAGGATCAAGGTTCAAAGCCAGCCCAGGTAGGAAAGACTGTGAGACTCCTATCTCCAATAAACCACCAGAAAACCGGAAGTGGCACTGTTGCTCACGTGGTAGAGCGCTCACCTTGAGCTGAAGAGCTGAGGGACAGCGCCCAGGCCCAGAGTTCAAGCCCCACAACTGACCAAAAAAAAAATTCTTGACTCTGTCACACTGACAAAAGATCAATTTCTCCTCCTGGGTAGCTAAGGGAGAACTGGCCCACCACTGGATGTACAAGACTCCATCTTGATCCATATCTCATAAACTAAGGGCTCTGGCATGGGTGACCTGAGCCTTTGCAAGTAAACACTTGCATACATGTTGATCACCACCTGGACCAGTGGCTAACAGCAAGCAGGGAGAAGCAGATGTGTAGAGAAGGTCTGTGCTTATAGCTACCCAATCACTTCAAAATAAGCCAGGTGTTCCTGACACTTCAAAACTTGGTATTATTATCATTAAATTGGATTAGTATCATAATCAAGTCTTGGCATTCACCTGCACATAGTGAACACTAAATACATACTTGCTGATAAAACAGATAATAAGTAGCAATAGTAAAAACAGCCCATATTCAAATATTCCCACTCTTCTCCCTCTGGACCAATGATTCACAGCTGAAACAATTTTTTTTTTGGATCCGGTCGTGGGGCCTGAACTCTGGGCCTGGGCCCTGTCCCTCAGCTCTTCAGCTCAAGGCGAGCGCTCTACCACTTGAGCCACAGCGCCACTTCCGGTATTTTTCTTTTTGCTTATGTGGTGCTGAGGAATCGAACCCAGGGCCTCATGCATGCAAGGCAAGCACTCTACCACTGAGCCACCTTCCCAGCCCTGAAACAATTTCTTAAGGGACAATGTCAATGTCTGGCAAAATCTTTGGTTGTCACAACTGCCAAGGGGTGGGGACATGCTAAGTACACAGTGGGCAGAGGCCAGGAGACACTGCTAAACAGAGTCCTCGCAACAAGGGATTATCCAAAACATCAGTAGGGCAGATACCAAGAAATCCTACTCTATAGGAGCCAGGCTTAAGCCAATTAGTTTGAGATAGGTAAGATATAAAGTCATATCCATTCTAAAGAAAATACTTCTCTTGGGGGCTGGGAAGGTGGCTCAGTGGTAGAGCGCTTGCCTTGCAGGCATGAGGCCCTGGGTTTGATTCCTCAGCACCACATAAGCAAAAAGAAAAAAGCCGGAAGTGGCGCTGTGGCTCAAGTGGTAGAGTGCTAGCCTTGAGCTGAAGAGCTGAGGGACAGCGTCCAGGCCCAGAGTTCAGACCCCACGACCGGACCCAAAAAAAAAAAAAAAAAGAAAATACTTCTCTTATTCTATAACAGATAAATATTTGGAATTGTGGTGCAGATGAGTGTTTCCTAAAGAGCCACTACGTGGGTAGTGGTGACACCTTTAAAAGGGAGGACCTTAAGTCATGGGAGGGTATGCCCTCCAGGGGCACTCTAGAACCCTCTTCCATCTTTCTCTTTGCTTTGTGGCTCAAAATGTAAGCAGTTTTCTCCACTGTGGTGTTCTAGCCATGATGTGCCACAAAGTCTAAGGACCAGTTAGTTTTACACTAAACCCTCTAAACCTCTTCTTTTTCTGTTAATTTCCATGGATATTTCATTATAGTGACAGAATGCTGCCTGAAACAAGTGGAAAGAACTGTAGGGATTTTAGTAGACCAAGTAGAGTTGGAGAGCCAAAGGTCCAGAGAGGTTAAATTATTTGCCCAAATTCATAGAAGAAAGGTTCAATGGACTGGAATTAGAAACACCAAACTTTGAACATGGTAGACATGGTTGATGCTTAATAATTGTCACTAAAAATTTACATTTTAGCCGGGCGCTGGTGGCTCACGCCTGTAATCCTAGCTACTCAGGAGGCTGAGATCTGAGGATCACGGTTCAAAGCCAGCCCGGACAGGAGAGACCGTGAGACTCCTATCTCCAATAAACCACCAGAAAACCAGAAGTGGCGCTGTAGCTCAAGTGGTAGAGCGCTCGCCTTGAGCTGAAGAGCTGAGGGACAGCGTCCTGGCCCAGAGTTCAAGCCCCACGACTGACAGAAAAAAAAAAAAATCTACATTTTAGCCAGGCATGGTATGCATACCTGTTACTCCAGCAGTCAGGAGGTTTTGTGGGAACATGCCGTTCGTTCAAGTCTAGTCTTTCTTTTTTTTGGGGGGGAGGGTCCGGTCATGGGGCCTGAACTCTGGGCCTGGGCGCTGTCCCTCAGCTCTTCAGCTCAAGGCTAGCGCTCTACCACTTGAGCCACAGCGCCACTTCTGGCTTTTTTCTTTTTGCTTATGTGGTGCTGAGGAATCAAACCCAGGGCCTCAGGCATGCAAGGCAAGTGCTCTACCACTGAGCCACCTTCCCAGCCCCTAGTCTTGGTTTCACAGTGAGACCCTATCTCCAAAAAACATATCCTGTTCTTTAAGTCATTTTCTTTTTTTGGGGGGTGGGGAGAAGGGGGCGGTGGTGTTGTTGGAGTTTGAACTCAGAACTTTGCACTTAACTAGAGAGGTACTCTACTATTTCAGGCACTTCCCTAGCCCTTTATACTTTAGTTTATTTTTCAGATAGGATCTGTTTTTTGCCCAGAACCAGCCTCAGACTGTGACCATCCTTCCTTTGCTTCCTGTGTAGCTGGGTTCATACATGTGTATCACAATGCTCAGCTGTTTTTTTACTGTGTTTTTTTTGGG